GAGCGGAGCGAGCTCCGCTCCTTCTGCAGCGCCGGCATCGGGGGCGCCGGGCCGGCGCTGCCATGGATCCTGCGCTTGGTGGTCAATGAGCGCCGAAGCGGCGAGTGCTTCCTCAACCTGCTGTTGGTGCAGCGGGCGGTCGTCGACGGCCGGGCCTACCTGGTCGCGTTGCTAACACCGCTGGAGCGCGACCTCCAGCGGCTGGTGGAGACCCTGGCCATGGACGAGGACGGCCTGCGGCAACTGCGGCGGCTGCGCACCATCTTGCGCCGCCGCGAGGGCTCCTGCCGCAGCTGTGGCCTGGACGGGATGCTGGCGCAGGCCATGGCCGAGTGGGTGGCCGAGTTCCCGCCCTTCCTCGAGCTGCCGGCCATGGTCGTCCCGGACCTGGACAGGCGGGTTCTTCAGCTGCCCTGCTACGCCCATGTTTAAACGCAACACGTGCCGTGCTCTGATCGTCCGTGCTAACGTGCTGCGTCTTGGCCTACGTGTTGGCGATTTTTTCGCGCCAAACCTATGCTTTCAGTCTGCGTCGTGAGCTACGTGTCGACACGCTACGTGTTGCGTGCTGCATATTGGGGCAGCTGTAGTAAGGCGGGTTCCACTCGTGGGCGTCGAGGTCTGCACCGCGACGGCGGGCATCGAGACGGTCGTGGGCGCCCTAGAGTCTGGTCTCCGCCACTTCCACATCACCTTCCGCGAGCACCGAGTGGACGACTCCAGGTTGAACGTGTCCGAGGTCCACAGGTCGGTCGGCGACGAACTCAGAACCCTACATCCGAAGGTTTTCGCCTTTTTGAACGTCCTGGGAGGCCCGAGTCGCCACGGTTGGATTCGCCTCGAAGTTGTCGTCAAAACACACTTTGGGAGAGGTCCTGAAAATGGCAGTAACGTTATCTTTTGGTTCCCCCGCTACCCTCGCCGATCAACAATTGGGGCATCTCGATGGGCGGCGGGGCTAGGGTTGGGAATTCGTCAAACGCGTGTCGACATCCGAGCCCTAATTGCACACGCCTTCCATGCGATGGTTGGTTGGGCTTTTGGTTCCCCCGCTACCCACGCCGATCAACTATTCGGGCATCTCGATGGGCGGTGGGGGTATGGTTCGGAATTCGTCAAACGCGTGGCGAGATCCGAACCCTAATTGCCCACGGCTCCCATGCGAAGGTTGGTGGGGATAGGGTTCGGATGTCGCCACCTAGCAGGGTCAGCCTCCGCCTCGCCGAGATGCTCAACCTGTTGCGTCAGCTCAGGACCGGGGAAGCGTAATGCTCGAGCTCGCTGGGACTCGGTTGTTGTGCCGACGCTTTTTGATAGGCCCATTCTGTGTTCTGCCGGTCAAATGTTCTTGGGATGTTTGCAGCGGAAGTTCGCATCACATTTCAGATCGTGTCTCATCATTTTCTGGCCAGTCCCGTCAGGCCAACTCGAATCCCCCGCACCCGGGTCTTACGTCTCCCTGACAGGAGGTTGTACTACCTCCGCGAGGGCATCGTGTTCACCGTCTGCTCCCCCCCGCACCTCATCGACGCCTTCTCCGAGGTCCAGAAGGCTTTCGTCTCCAACGGCTACGAGATCTCTGGCTGGCTGCTCGACGCGCGCGCGTCGAAGCCGGAGGCGGTGCGTGAGTGCTGGGCGAGGATGTCCGCCGCGAAGCGGCGCGGCGAGGTTCGGCGGCGAGCCCAGAGGGGGAAGTGAGAGGTGGCAGGTCTTCTTAGATGGCAGCGTGACTTCTCAGGATCGACGAAGCGCAAGCATGGATTCGCGGCGCGTGGATTGGCGTCGGGCCCGATTTCCGCAAGTGATCGGCGCATCCCGCCGCCAGGTCAGGCGGCATTGGCGCCATGTTTCGGGGGCCACTTCCCCGATCTCTGTGAGCGTCTGCTCGGCAGGAGCCCTCTGGCCTCCCGAGAAGTCGCCTGCTCCCTGGGAGGGGGCTTATAGGCAACAGCTTCTCGGGAGGCGCAAAAGGGCCTCTGAGGAGCCCCGCCGCCCTCCGAGGAGGCCTGCTTCCTGTCGGGCGCCTGGCAGGTATAGCTCCTGGGTCGTGTCTCGGTTCTCCCCTGGCCGTTCGGGGCGACCCGTGCACCCCGTTGAACGCTCTCGGGGAGGCGCAGCCGCTGCAGCGCTTCCCGAGGCTGGAACGACGCCCAGAGCTTACGAAACCGCCCGGACACCTGGAAGCCCGAAGCCGAACCTCCCCAGCCTCGCCCCTGGGCTCGCCGCCGAGAGGTGGCGGCCCTGGGCCTGCTCGGGGGTGGCCAGCGCGCCGTGGAGGCCGCCGCGAGGGCGCCGAACGCTTCGAGGGTGGCCCTGTACGCGATGGACGCGCACCCCGCCCGGCGGCTGTCGAGGGAGGTAACCAGAACACCCCGACGCGCACGAGTCTGGGCCTCTCAGATGGGGCCCGAGCAGGTGGGGTAGACCGCGTCGCATCGCTGGTAAGGCTCGATGGGGAGCCCGATTTTCTCCACGCCGACGGGTGCCGATGCACGGCCGACGTCGACGATGCATCGGCGATGCATCGGCCCCATGCACTCCGACCCCATTTTCTCCGACCCCGTCGACGATGCCGTCGCGACTCTCCGACCCCATTTACTCCGACCCAATTGGGAGGCCTCTTCAATCATGACGGCCCTTCTATCTCATTATATGTGTAGACAGTCCTGGGCGTTTATTAGACAGCCTTGCCCTCCCTGGTCGGTTCCTTCCTGAGCTGTGCTTCCTAAGCGGCTTCGCTTGTCGGTAAACTTAGTTCGAAGGTCCGCGTGGATGTCTTGGATCGACGCGGGACTCCCCATCCCTGCAGCGCGGAGCGCGCCAGGTGCGGCGCCGGAGGCGCCGCCAGGGGGGGCCTGGCGACAATCCTAGAAATCCGCGCGGAGTTCCGAACGTTTATGCTTATGCCGTCTGTTGGCATTTTCCTATTACTCTGAGTCGAGGGCCCCCGGGCCCTCACAGGTCGATCCGGCTTGAGAAATGGTGAAGAAGGGTGGGGTCTAGGGTCATGGGTTCTGGTCGTGCTTTTTCGCAGTGTTGCAAATTCTTGGCAACGCCAGAGCTTAGTGTCTTCAACAGCCCTGGGCGTTCACTAAGGAGCCCTAGCCTGCTCGATTTCTTCCTGGCTGCGCTTACTGGGCAGTTTCGCCTGTCGGGGTGCATCTCATTCGTTGATGGTGGTTCGTCTGCTCCCAATCGAAGAACGAACAACGGCATTTTCAGAGGTCCGCGCGGATCTCCTGGATCGGCGCTCGGCCCCCATGGCGGCGTTTCCGGCGCCGCCCCTGGCGCACTCCGCGCGCCAGGGAATGGGGCCCAGCGCCGGTGCACGAAATTCGCGCGGACCTCAGACAGCTTCTGTTTATGCCGTTCTCCGTCCCTTGATGGAGGGCATAACCACCCTCGACGCACAGGAAGCAGCCCGACAGGCGAAGCCGCTCAGTCGCCACACCCCAGGAATGTGAATCGAGCAGGGCAGGGCTGTCTAGTACCTGCCCAGGACTGTTTCGTACCTCTTGAGCCCTGGCGTTGCAAGACAAGCCTCTGTTCTCATGCAGTTTTTCGCTCCTCCGTCCTCCAGGCTGGAGAACGCGGAAGCCCAGCTGCTGCAGAGGCTGCACGCCGAGGGCACCGCGCTCCTCGCCTGCAACGTCAGCGGCCCCGGGCAGTGCTGGCGGCGGTGCCCGGAGGCCCAGCGCGCGGCCGCGGACGCCGGCGTGACGCCCGAGGTGCGGGGAGCAGTTCGTGGCATGCTCGGGTCGCCGCGGGGGGGGGTAGGACACACATTGCTCATTTCGAAGTATTCGGAAGTACCCCTTTGTGTTTCACTTGTCCTCCTCCTCCTCCCCCTCCTCCTCTTCGCGTGGCGCTACACTGTCCTGCTCACCTTGTTGTGTCGACGACGGAGTGGACGCGGAAATCTGCAGTCCAGCTTCCCCGCTTCCCCGCCGAGGTAGGGTTCACTCTGGCGCGAAGAGGCGAATGGTGGTTCGACGTTCTTGGGATGTCAAAAAAAAAATGATCCTTTCATTTCTGATTCTTCTGTGCTGGGCCTCTTCCTGGGCGCTAGGGGGCCAGGAACAATCAGAAACGAACACCATTAGAAGTGAGCACGGTCAGAGATGAACGACGTGTAGAGGGGGTTGCAAGTGGGTGCCAAGGTGGGCTATACCTGGCCGAAGCTAGCTTACAAGTTGGTTGCAAATGTCCGAAGTGGCTGAAGGGAGGTGCAGATCCGAGCCAAGTGGACGGAGCCCACGTGTCGGTGTTTACCAAATCACCCTAAGCCACTTAGGATACCGTTGGCCCATTTATAAGCTAGGTCAGGCCAGCCAGAATCTGCCAGATCATGCACTTCGAACCCCCATATTGCCCCAGCATCCCCCACGGCGACCCAAGTAAACATAACATGTCTGAGGACCGCGCTTACTTATCGGACCCCAGGCCCCCTCGGGTCATGGAAAAATCATGGTGGATGTTTGTTTAGCTATTTGGGGCCCCTGGGGCTCTTACGGGGCCTCGGGACCTTGAAAACACTACCTGTTATGAAAAGCTGGTCGCCGGGAATGGGTCCAGACCGCTGGGTGTCCACTTAAAACAAAAAAAACACGACGCCTGGATTGGTCAAACGATGTTCAGGATGGGATCGGCGCTGGAGCCCCCCGGTGGCGCCTCCGACGCCGCCCCTGGCACGCCCCGCGTGCCAGGGAGGGGAGTCCCGCGCCGACTCGAGTGATACGCGCGGGTTTCCGAACTGCGCGTGTTTGTGCCACTATTTGTTCCTCGAGAGGTGCTCGCCGTGAAGTGGTGCGAGCACCAGGCAGGGCCCGCGTCGATCCGATTCGAGATCGAGTCCCTGAGATCCTCCGGGTCTACCTTTTCCACACCAGGCGTTTTCGTTGGGTTCTGGGTCCTTGGCAACTGTTCACCATGCTGCAATCTTTTGAACCGTCTGATCGCAGAGTCTGGCCTGCTCGGTCTGGCTCGATTCCGACATTGCGACGATTAGATGCGGCCCGATGTTTGCATCGCGCTGTTGTGCATCTTGGCGCGGTCGATTCGATTCGATTCCGACTCCGTGCCGATGTTGCCCGATCAGACACACATTCCGATTCGATCCCATTCCCGGATTCGATGTGGATTGATCTTGCCAGGGCTGGGGCGCCATCGTCTCCTCGGACAGGTTCGTCCTCGGCCCGAACAGCGGCGCGATGCACAGGCCCGAGGAAGAACAGAGACCGAAGCCGCTGCCCTACCGACGTTTTCGCCTCTTTCCTTGGGCCTCCTAAGAGCTCGGATGCAACTCCTGGGAGGTCAAATTCTGATTTTGCCCTGGTCCGAAATCCGGCTGAATCCCGCTTAATCCCGCTTAGTAATCCCGCTTAATCCGAGGCCCACTCCGGGGTACCAGCTCCCAAATGGGGCTTAATCCTCCTTAATATTTCCGACGAAACCTCCCAGTAGTTGCCTCCTAATAAGAAGCCCTCGTCGTCACGGCTCACCAGAGAAGAAGGAACCACAACCACCAGTTATGGGGGTAGGCCGCTCCCCCCCCCCGAGCTGGTGGCACCCCTTTCCGGGCGCGCCCCCAGAAAGCTCCCAGAACGGAGTGCGCAGAGTTCTATGCAGTTCTCGTGGTGGTGGCTTTTTCTGCTTTCGAGAACGGCTGGGTTCGCCTGAACGCATCCCAGGAGAGGTCCCGAGTTATATAGGGAGGGGCCCCCCGTCTTCTTCTCTGGGGGGAGGGGCGGGGGCGCGCCCGGCTGCGAAAGCTGTTTTTGTTTCTGCGCCCTCGTTTGGCATTTCAGCTGGCTGTTGCCTGCGTTGCTTCTCGTGAATGGTACACGCCGATTGTTGAAATCCAGGTGTTGCTGGACTCCCAGATCCCGATCTACTTCAAGTGCCTTCCTACTTCAAGAATCGATATGCTGATGCTGTGTTTTGTTATTCTCTGGAGGGCCTGAACCCAATCTACTTTATCTGCCTTCCTGCTTCTTGTTTGTACCTACTTTTTCCGACCGACGTGTGCTACTGTGTGTCCCGCACTAGGTCTGGGGACAGCCAACCCGCATGGTAAGGATAAGCGACCTCCCAAGGTTATCATTGCGTCCTTCCCCTTGAGCCAGCCCTCGCCCGCGAGGAGGAGGACGAAGAGGAGGAGGAGGAGGAGGAGGAGGACGAGAAGGAGGTTGAAACGAGCACTTCGGCCCTTGCATTCTTCCCTTTTCCCTGGCGGCGACCCGCTCGCAAAGTGCCGACATGTCTTCCAGGGTCCTTGCATCCTGCTCGTGCGTCGTTATTGTACGGGCTGACTGTGCTTGTAGTACGGAGGAGGGGTACGGTAGGTTTGCGTCGTGTCGACCAGCGGCGACCCCAGCGCGGGCGTTCAAGGTTGAACGCCGGCGGCGGCCCAGAATCGGTCGATGTTGAACGATTGGACGTTGCGGCAGCGGCCGATCGTTCAAGGTTGAACGATCCCTGCGGTGTCAAAAACCAACGCTGGGGTCGGCACGACACGAACCTGCCGTACCTGTATCGGGGGGGAGGTACCAATAGTTTGGAGTAGGGTGCCGACAGTCCAGGGGCGGGTACCAATCCACCACCAGTCTGGGGGGGGGGCCGGCACTTGTCGAATGGAGAGGTGAACTGTCTCGCGAGCGCGGATGGTCCAGGGGGTACATGTAGTCCGGAGCGGTACCCTTAGTCCAGGGTTGGGTGCCACGAGGGGTACCAAGAGTCCGGGGGGGGGGGGGGGGCAATAGTTCTGGGGGAGGAGGCCTTAGTCTGGAGACCTGGAATTATATTGGGGGGCGCAGAATTCTGTGGCCCGCGCTTTTTTTGATGTTTTTTTGGCTCGCATTTTGTTCCCTACCTAGGCTCTGCCTAGAAGAGTTCTTACTCGGTGAGCTTAAAGGGCCGGGCAGTGGGGCCCGCCCTGGGCGGTTCCCCCAGTATCCGCCCCGCGGTTCCCCCAGTGACGTTCCCTTAGCTTCGCGTTGCTTATCTCATCTTAGCTTAGCTTATTTCATCTTACCTTAGCTTAGCTTCATCTTACCTCAGTTTTATCTTAGCTTAGCTTACCTTCATCTTAGCTTCGCTGAGCTTTAGCATAGCAGAGCACAGCATAGCATATCATAGCGTAGCATAGCATAGCGCAACATCGCATATCATAGCATGGGTGTAATTTGAATAGTTTTTAATGTTCGCCCAGAATTCTGCCTGTAGGAAGACATGCCCGACCCACCAGTTCTCAGCATTCCCTACCTAGGCTCTGCCAGAAGGGTTCTTACTCTCTGGGCTTAAAGGGGCCGGGCAGTGGAAAGCGCCCCGGGCGGTTCCACCAGTATCCGCCCCGCGGTTCCCCCAGTTGCGCCCCCTTAGCTTAGCTTTGCTTATCTCCTCTTAGCTTAGCCTAGCTTAGCTTAGCTTAGCCTAGCCTAGCTTAGCTTAGCTTAGCTTAGCCTGGCTTAGCTTAGTTTAGCTTAGCTCAGCTTAGCCTAGCTTAGCGCAGCGCAGCATTATCATATCATATCATCGCATATCATATCATAACATGTCATAGCATAGCATAGCGCAGCATAGCATAACGCAGCATATCATATCACATCATATCATAGCAGTGCATAGCGCAACATAGCATATCATAACATAGCATCGCATATATTAGCTTAGCATAGCACAGCGCAGCGCATCATATCATAACATAGCATAGCATAGCGCGGCACATCATATCATGTCATAGCATAGCGCAGCATATCCAAGCATTACATGACATAGCATAGCGTAGCATAGCATAGCATAACATATCAGAACGCATCATACCATATCATCACATAGCCTAGCCTAGCATAGCATAGCGCAGCATAGCATAGCATAGCATAGCATAGCGCAGCATAGCATGTCATATCATAGCATAGCATAACGCAGCATAGCATAGCACAGCATAGCCTAGCATAGCATAGCGCAGCCTAGCATACCCTAGCATAGCATAGCGTAGCATAGCGCAGCACAGCGCAGCATCGCACAGCATATCATAGCATAGCATAGCATAGCGCAGCATATCATAGCACAGCATCGCATAGCATAGCATAGCATCAAAGCAAAGGCAAAGCAACAGCAGCAACAGCAAAGCAAGGCACAAGCAACGCAAAGCAAAGCAACAACAACAGCAAAGCAAAGGAAAGGCAACGCAAACGCAATGTGCGACAGGTGCCGAGCTAGCCTCGATGGCCGGACCGGAGCCCCCGCAAGCACTGCTGCCACACTGCTACAACTGCGACGATGAGGAGAAGGAGGACGGCGTTTACCGTGACTGCTAAGATTGCTCTCCTCGGGGCTCCAACTCCTAGAGGTAGGGTCGCTCTGGGATCATTTGGGTCTCCCCGCTAGGGCCTTCGTGCGCGAGTACCGCACGGCACCTCCGGCCCACGTGTGCTACGCCGCGTGGGACAGGGGGCGGCCTTCGGCGACGAGGAGCACCACGGGGCTGCCCTCCGGCGGCGGCGCCGGCAGCGCGGGCTCCACGAGGCGGGGCTCCCTCGAGAGCCCTGCCTGGGGCAGGCGCGCGCCCGAGCCGCTGGCCGCCGGCTCCGGCCCGCTGTCCGACTCGGAGCGCAAGCAGAGCCTGGACTCCCAGGCCACCAGTCAGGAGGGGAAAAAACACACAGACACAATTCATCGTCGATCTCTCAGAAAATATTGCAAAATATGGGAAGTGGGGGGGAAGACAGAAACCCAGAAAATATAGGAAAATATTGGGAATCCTTTTATTAGTGTGTATTTATTTGTGTGTCCCAAGGCCCTTCAACCAGGGGCAACTTTGCTTGGATCGCCGCGGGGCTGCTAAGGGGGTGCGGGGTATCTGAAAAAAGGTGCTGTTCAGACTCTGGGGCGCCCCCAGGCTCTGGGGGTTGGGGGTTGCTCCGACTTTGTCTCTCGTTGTCGGACGGTGTCTCCTCGCTCCTACCCCCTGCCTCCTCCCCCTGGTCCTCCTCCCTGTTTCTCTTCCTACTCCCTCTTCGCCTGCTTTTCCCAGTCCTTTTCTTCCTCTTCCTCCTTCCTCCTCCTCCTCCTCCTCAACCTCCTACTTCTCCTCCTCCTCCTCCTCCTCGCCCCCAGTGCGCCCCAGGAGGAGGCTTCCAAGATGGCCCGATGACGGCCCAGGAGGCCCCAAAGACGGCCCCAAGAGGCCTCTAAGACGCCCTTGATGGCCTCCAAGACGGCCCTGAAGCGCCTCAAAAGGACCCCACATGGGTTCAGAGAGGCCCCCAAGGTGGCTTCCGACCGCGTCAGACCCGTCAGACGGGCCAGGAACGCTTTGAGACGGCCAAGGAGAGGCCCCCAAGACGCCCCCAAGGCCCCCAAGAGGCCTAAGGAGACCCCCAAGAGGCTTCCAAGAGGCCCCCAGGAAACCCCCAGGAGGCCCCACAAGAGTGCCCCAAGAGGCTCCCAAAGGGCCTCCTCCTCCTCCTCCTCCTCCTCCTCCTCCTCCTCCTCCTCCCTCTCCTGATCCTCCCCCTCAGCCTCCCCCAAGTGTTGCCCGAAGAGTTTCCGGAGCGGCTGGGGGAATACATAATCAGATAGTTTGGCCAAGCTTGGGCCCAACATTTGGCCACATAGGCGCTTCTCAAAAAGGCTGGGGGCGGCGGTGATTCGCCGCAGGCGTCTTGGATCCGCCGCCCCCTGTGCTTGCCACAGGGGTGGACGGCGTGCCAGACATTTTGCTGCTCTTGTTATTTTCAAACCCTTCTCAGTGGCCTTCGGCCCAGACCGCCTGCCCTCGGAAGGGCCAGAAGGTGTGGCCCACATCGCCACCAAGACGGCCCAAATGGCCCAAGATGGCCACCAAAATGCCTCCAAGGCGGCTAGGATTGCCCCAAGAGAGCCCAAGACGGCCCCGATGTGTCTCCAAGACGGCCCAAGATGCACCCGAGGCTTTCCAAGATGGCCCCAAGATGGCCCAGGATGGCCCCAAAGGCCCCCAAGAGGCTTCCAATGCAGTCCAAGAAGCCTCCAAGGGGACCTCCAGGAAGGCCCGAAGAGGCAAAGACAGCTGATTTCCCGTGGGCTCTTGACGGATTTTGACATTTTCGGCTTGCCGACGGCCCAATGCCGCCCAAGAGGTCCCCAAGATGGCCCCAAGAGCGCCCAAGCGACCTTCAAGACGGCCCCATGACGGCCTCCAGACGGTCGAAGAGGCCCCCAAAGGCGCCTCCAAGACGGCCCACGAAAACTCCAAGGAGCCCACGATGGCCTTCAAGACAGCTCCAAAACGTCCAAGATGGCAACGATACGATTCGACATAGCCACAGGATGGCCCAAGACAGCCCCAGAGGGCCCCAAGGGGATCCAAGGGGCCTCCTAGACAGTCTAGGAAGTCTTCAAGAGGACCTCCATGAGAGCCCGAAATGCCCAAATGGTTGTATTCCCTTCAATTGTTGAATAATTTGGGCGCGTTTTTTTTTGGCTGTCCGACGGCCCAAGATGTCCGCAAGATGGTCCCAAGACGGCCCAAGCTGACTTCAAGACGGCCCCAAAATGGCACCAAAAGGCGAGGAAACAGTCCAAGAGGAAGAGCAAGAGGAAAGGACAGAATCAGAGGCCCGAAGCGGCTCTGAGAAGCCTGCAGCTCAGCGCGGGCTCGTCTGCGGACGCCCTTGCACCCCCCCAGGAAAAACATATCACCCCGAGGTCCGGTGATGTTTTGTGGGGCCGCCCTCTCAAGGCCCCACGTCCAGATTTTGGGTCGAGGAGGAGGAGGGGCAGGAGGACGAGGAGGTGATCAAGAGGAACCAGAGGAGCAGGAGGAGCAGGAGGACGAGGAGGTTTAGCAAGGGGTCACGGACGGAATGAAAGGCCCGAAGCGGCTCCGAGACCAGACCGCGCTGAGCTGCAGGGTTTTCGGAGCCGCTTAAGGCCTCGCATTTCGTCCTTGTCCCCCTGCTCAACCTCCTCGTCCTCCTGCTCCTCCTTCTCCTCGTTTTCGTCTTGATCAACGTCCTCGTCCTCCTGTTCCTCTTCTTCCTCGACCCATGAGCCGGCCGTGGGGCCTTGAAAAGGCGGGCCGAACAAAAGTCACCTGGGGCCTCGGGATGATTTTTTGTTCGGGGGGGGGGGGGCAGAGGCGTCCGCAGACGAGCCCGCGCTGAGCTGCAGGCTTCTCGGAGCCGCTGCGGCCCAAAAAAGGCTGCCCTGCAGGCTGTCTCGGAGCCTCTGCGGCCAAAGGAAGGACACTTTGTCGGTTTAACTGTTGGGTCGCTTTGTCGGCTGATTTCGAGCGCGTCGTCGTCGTCATGGTCGTCGTTGTCGTCGTCGTGGTCGTCGTCGTCGTCGTCGTCGTCGCCACCATCGTCGTGGTCGTCGTGGTCGTCGTCGTCGTCGTCGTCGTCGTCGTCGTCGTCGTCGTCGTCGTCGTCGTCGTTGTCGTTGTCGTTGTCGTCGCCGTCCATAAGATGCCCCCAAGAGGGCCCTGAGAGGGCCCCAAGAGGGCCCCAAGAGGGCTCCAAGAGGGCGGCAAGAAGGCCCCAGGAGTGATGTTCCAACCCAGAGGCCGCTGGTAAAGAACTCCTGGGGCCCTCCTCCTCCTCCTCCTCCTCCTCCTCCTCCTCCTCGGCGACGACGAGGAGGAGGAGGAGGTGCAAATGCACCCTTACCCAGCCCCTGCAGGACCAGGCAGCGACACTTGGACCAAATTTCCCGGCTCCTGTTTCGACCCCAGAGCTCTCGACTCCGTCCGGGAGTTCCCGACCCCAACCCGTGGAGCTTTCGGCCCCATCCCGGAGTTCTCGACCCGCAGACGACGGCGACGACGATGACGACGATGACGACGAAGACGACGACGACGACGACGACGACGACGACGACGACGACGACGACGACGACGACGACGACGACGACGACGACGACGAAGACGACGACGACGACGCCCCGACCTGGAGTGGTAAGTTTGGCTGCTGCCTAGGGTTTTGGAGCCCTCAGGGCCCGGGGGGGCCCCAGAACGGATCCGAAGCCTCAAGTTTGTCGGGCCCACGATCGACGACTGGCGACGACGACGACGACGACGGGCATGAGTTACTTGGCGCCCCCCCTTGGGAGCATCGGGTAGCTGGCCACCGGGGGGTGCGCTCCACATGTGGAGGGTGCACCCTCCACTTACCCGGTGTCCTCTTGGGAGCATCGGGTAACTGGCCCCCTTGGGAGCATCGGGTAACTGGCCACCGGCGGGTAAGTGGAGGGCGCACCCTCCACTTACCCGGTGTCCCCCGGGGGACATCGGGTAACTCGACCTTGCAGGGGTGTGTGTTAGGCACGGGTTACCCGGTGGCGAGGGGGGGCATCGGGATAATCGACCTTGCACGGGAGGGGTGTCGGGCATGAGTTACCCGGTCCCCCGAGGGGCGTCGGGTAAGTCGACCTTGTGCATTCGGCATTATTCGGCAAACCGGTGGACCCCTATGGGACATCGGAGTCACCCGGTGTCAGCCGTGGGACATCGGCCCGTGGGACATCGGAGTTACAAGGTGACCCCCGGGGGACATCGGGTAACTCGACCTTGCAGGAGGGGTTTGGGCATGGTTACTTGGTGGCCCCCCGTGGGACATCGGCGTTACGCGGTGGCCCTCCTGGGACATCGGAGTTACCCGGTGGTCCCCGTGGGACATCGGCCCGTGGGACATCGGAGTTACCCTGTATCCCCCGTGGGACATCGGAGTTACCCGGAGGTCCCCGTAGGACATCGGCCCGTAGGACATCGGAGTTACCCGGTGTCCCCCATATCGGGTAACTCGACCTTTTCAGGGGGGGGGTCTGGGCATGAGTCACCCGGTGCCCCCTCGAGGGACATCGGAGTTACCCGGTGTCCCCCGTGGGATCGACATCGGAGTTACCCGGTGGTCCCCGTGGGACATCGGCCCGTGGGTCATCGGAGTTACCCGGTGTCCCCCGTGGGACATCGGATTTACCCGGCGGTCCCCCGTTGGACATCGGCCCGTGGGGCATCGGAGTTACCCGATTTCACCCTGGGGACATCGGGTAACTCGACCTTGCAGAGGAGGGTCTGGACATGAGTTACCCGGTGGCCCCCCGTGGGACATCGGAGTTACCTGGTGTCCCCCGTGGGACATCGGAGTTACCCTGTGATCCCCGTTGGACATCGGCCCGTAGGACATCGGAGTTACCCGGTGTCCCCCACATCGGAGTTACCCGGCGGTCCCCGTGGGACATCGTCCTGTGGGACATCGGAGTTACCCGGTGTCCCCCGTGGGACATCGGAGTTACCCGGTGTCCCCCGCGGTGTCCCCCGTGGGACATCGGCCCGTGGGACATCGGGTAACTCGACCTTGCAGGGGGGGGTCTGGGCATGAGTCACCTGGTGGCTCCCCGTGGGACATCGGAGGTACCCGGTCTCCCTCGTGGGACATCCGAGTTACCCAGTGATCCCCGTGGGACATCGGCCCGTGGGACATCGGAGTTACCTGGTGTCCCCCGTGGGACATCCGAGTTACCCGGTGGTCCCCGTGGGACATCGGTTCTCCGTGGGACATCGGAGTTACCTGGTGTCCCCTGGGGGACATCGGATAACTCGACCTTGCAGGGGGGGTCTGGGCATGGTTACCCAGTGGCCCCCCGTGGGACATCGGAGTTACCCGGTGGCCCCCGTGGGTCATCGGCGTTACCCAGTGTATCGGAGTTAACCGGTGGTCCCCGTGGGACATCGGTCCGTTCGACATCGGAGTTACCCGGTGTCCCCCGTGGGACATCGGAGTTACCCGGTGGTGGGACATCGGCCCGTGACATCGGAGTTAGCCGGTGTCCCCCGTGGGACATCGGAGGAAACCGGTGGTCTCCGTGGGACTCCAGCCTGGCCCCTCTTGGGGCCTTCTTAGGGCCCTCTTGGAACCACTGGTTGGCCCAAACGATGGCTCCAAGAGGGCCCTAAGAGGGCCCCAAGTGGGCCCCAAGAGGGCTCCAAGAGGGCCCCAAGAAGGCCCCAGGAATTATGTACCAACCCGGCGGCCGCTGGTACGTAACTCCTGGGGCCCTCTTTTGGCCCTCTGAGGGCCCTCTTGGAGCCTTCTTGGGCCCCGGGTTGTCCCTAAGAGGGCCCCAAGAAGGCCCCAAGAGGGCTCCAAGAGGGCCCCAGGAATTATGTACCAACCCAGCGGCCGCTGGTACATAACTCCTGAACCCTCTTGGGGCCCTCTTGGGGCCCTCTTGGATCCCGCTTAAGCCCCTCGTTGGCCCATATGATGGCTCCAAGAGGGCCCTAAGAGGGCCCCAAGACGGGCACAAGAGGGGCCCAAGAGAAGCTTCAGAAACCGCTAGTAGGTGTCATCGAACAGCGCGTCTGGATGAGACCTCTCAGTGGTCTCTGGGGCGCGTCTTGGAGCCCTCTGGGGCCCTCTGGAGCCCCCTGGGTGCTCCCAAAAAGGTTCCAAGGGACATCCGAAGGGGTGGAGGGGAGTTGGAGGGGGAGTGGAGGGGGAGGTGGAGGGGGGGCGAGGGTGGGTGGTGGAGGGGGGGGGGAGGGGGGGTGGGGGGGGGGGAGGGGGGGGGAGGGAGAGGGAGTGGGGTTTGATTAGGAAGCTGGAAGGGTTTGACGACCACGATGACGACGACGACGACCACGACCACGACCACGACCACGACCACGACCACGACCACGACCACGACCACGACCACGACCACGATGACGAGTGGGCGCCTTGGAGTTCTCGTGGGACGTCTTAGAGGCGCCTTGGGGGCCTCTTGGACCGTCTGGATGACGTCATGAGGCCGTCTTGGAGGCCTCTTGGGCGCTCTTGGGGCCATCTTGGGGGTCTCTTCGGCGGCATTGGGCCGTCGGCAGGCCGAAAATGTCAACATCCGTCAAGAGCCCACGGGAAATCAGCTGTCTTTGCCTCTTCGGGCTTTCCTGCGGGTCTCCTTGGAGGCTTCTTGGACTGCATTGGAAGCCTCTTGGGGGCCCTTGGGGCCGTCGTGGGCCATCTTGGGGCCATCTTGGAACGCATCGGCTGCATCTTGGGCCGTCTTGGAGACACATTGGGGCCGTCTTGGGCTCTCTTGGGGCAATCCTAGCCGCCTTGGAGGCATCTTGGTGGCCATCTTGGGCCATTTGGGCCGTCTTGGTGGCAATGTGGGCCACACCTTCTGGTCCTTCCGAGGGGCAGGCGGTCTGGGCCGAAGGCCACTGGGAAGGCTTTGAAAATAACAAGAGCAGCAAAATGTCTGGCACGCCGTCCACCCCTGTGGCAAGCACAGGGGGCGGCGGATCCAAGACGCCTACGGCGAATCACCGCCGCCCCCAGCCTCTTTGAGAAGCGCCTATGTGGCCAAACGTTGGGCCCCAGCTTGACCAAGCTTTCTGATTATGTATTCCCCCAGCCGCTCCGGAAACTCTTCGGGGAACACTTGGGGGAGGCTAAGGGGGAGGATCAGGGGAGGAGGAGGAGAAGGAGGAGGAGGAGGAGGGGGCCTCTTAGGAGCCTCTTGGGGTACTCTTGTGGGGCCTCCTGGGGGCTTCCCAGGGGGCTCTTGCAAGCCTCTTGAGGGCCTCATTAGGCCTCTTGGGGGCCTTGGGGACGTCTTGGGGGCCTCTCCTTGGCCGTCTCAAAGCGTTCCTGGCCCGTCTGACGGGTCTGACGCCGTCGGAAGCCGTCTTGGGGGCCTCTCTGAACCGATGTGGGGTCCTCTTGAGGCGCTTCAGGGCCGTCTTGGAGGCCATCTTGGGCGTCTTAGAGGCCTCTTGGGGAGGAGGAAGAGGAGGAGGAGGAGGAGGAGGAGGACGAGGAGGAGGAGGAGGAGGTCCGTAGCCATTTTGGCTCCAGAGTTTTATTGGCAAGGGGGATAATCGGCCTCCACAGTTCCCTGGTACAGTATTGGGGTTTCCCCACGCTTACCATACATCCTTACGACGGCTTCTCTTTTCACAAGCACGGTTGGATCATGTTTCCTTCTCTCTCTAAGCCTGCTGGCGCATGGAACTGCTCCAAATGTGGCTGTGGACGGAACCTACAACACTGGTCGTGGTGCAAGCACTGCTACGCACCATGGCAGGGTGTTGGCTCATGGTCCCCAGACAAATCAACTCAGAACTCCAAGTGGAATGGTGACAACACAGTGGACACCCTGTTCGGCGCCGCCAACACCAACTCGCCCTTCAAATCTGACGGCCTCACGGAAGAGCTGGGTGAGGAAGATTTGGTGCAGTTGTTTGCAATCTACAAGAAGGCAGGCCAACTGGACGAGATCAACAAGTACCACGGCCAGCTGGACAAACTACGAGCTCAACTTTACCCTGTCGCAATGGGCCCAAAGGAGAAGCTCGACACAGCCTACAAGCATATCCAGCACTTGGAAAGGCAGCCCAATCACCAGACCGAGTCCTATGACAAGGTTGCATTGCAGTTGTCTCACCACGTTGGCCAGATCAAGAAGCTGTTTGATGATCTCGAAGAACAAGAACGGATATACAAAACAACGCCACCCAGGAACTCCACGCAGGGGCATCAGGACCGCATCATCAGGATAAACTCACTGCCCCATCTGTCGTTTCTTTGGATGAGATGATGGCAGGCAAAGTGGAGTTCTTGGATATCAACCCAGGCGAGCTTTCCGGGCTCAATGATTATGTTGACCTTACCCCAGAAGACAGCGGAAGCAGAAAAAACGCCTCAATGACCTCAAGCAGATATTCGCTGAGCAGGCTAAGACCATGTTTGGCGCGGTCAAAGATAGAGCAGAGGCCCTCAAGCGTGAACACGAAGCACAAAAACAGAGACTCGAGAAGAAACGCAAGCAGGAGGAGCCAGCAGGTACATCAAATACTGGAGGTGCTGACCCAGTACCAAACGCACCTGCAGCAGGAGCACAAGGACGACCCGCAGCATCTCCAGTCCCGTCGGCAAGCGCATCTCCAGCGATAACTAGGGCGGCTGAGATTCTACAGGCCCCAGGCGCCCCCATGCCGAACCACCCGTTCGACAAGGGCAAGGACAAGGACAAGGGCGGCAAGGGCGCATCGACTTCACCGCCGAGGGGGTAATCATCAAGGCGCAAGCTCTCCAGGCGGCTGGGCTGAAGAGCAGGGGCCGCATCATTCTGGACATGTGCTGCGAGGGGCGAAACTTCTTTCTTGTGGAGGCACTGGAAATCGGAGGGCCCAATCAACCCCGAGTTTTCCATTATCACGATAAATGGTCCTTCCTGGAGATCAGTGGAACATGTACTACCTTGGCTTACATCGGCAATCAGTTGTGTTCAAGAGCATCGACTCATACATGCGCGTTATGCGGAAATTGTTGGGAAAATGGCAGGCCTTGGCTGGATTATGTATGGAGGCCCTGCCCTTCTACAGAAAAGGGGCGGGCATCCGGTGGGGTATGCATCCTTGTGCGCGTGCATCTGCCTTGCTGGGCTCCAGACGAAGGATGTGTACAACCAGGACGTGCTGCCCGTTGCTATGTCAGATCTGCAGAGTTGGGTGTTTCCATGGTGGGCACCCTGTACATGTACGTCGGGGGAGGTCTCACCCCTCGTAACCTCAAGATGATACGTGTACTAGGCAAAGCAGCGCTGGCGCATCGAGTACCGTTCTGTATTGGGGGTGACTGGAACAACCCACGACGCGCCATCAATGATGCTCTGCCCTTACACATCTTAGATGGCAGTGTGCGGGGAGATGAGCATGCCCCCTCAGATGTGCTTGAGGATCATGCGACCACAGTCGACGTCTACCTGATCAGCAGGACCCTAGAATCGATTGTGAAAAAGATTAAAGTCATGATCGATCCAAGTGGACCCTCATAGACCTCTCAAACTCACGTTCAAGGCAACGTCGGGGGATCAGAAGGTAATGATAGCCAAGAAGTACCAGAGGCCGCCTGGAACCCGCGTTGCGGGGCCTGTCCTTCCTGACCCTGATATATCGGAACCAGATCGGCTACTGGATGAGTTGTTCGATATAATTGGGGGCGCTCCGGACCAGATTACCCTGCGCGGTGAAAACCTGAAGGCGGGGGTCGAGGTGCTCAACAAGACGTGTGATATGTGGAGTGATATTGCGTGGCGTGAGGTAATCCATGTCACAGGCTACGACGGCAAAGGGCTGCCTGGGGGATCACCAACAACTTGGACGACAATGCCAGTTCGGAAGGACCTCATGACAAGGTCCTACAGTAAGCTGGACCCTCACAGAGCGTTGGCGTGGGCCATACAACGACTGAAGGAGATAAAGACACTCTGCAGCCAGAAGAAGTTCTCTAAGTGCTATTTCAAGCTGGTTTAGTCGCGAGAGGTTCCCGACGCAAAGAGCCTCTTTACAGTTGTTTGCAAGGGCGGAGCAAGATGCTGGAACCCGTTACTCAGAACTGTTGGACACCTTACGCACGTATCACCAGAATGCGGATTACCATGGTTAGAGTCTGCTATTCAAGTGTGTGTCTTCTGGCATGACCACGTGGTGGTAAATTCCAGCAGTACTCGCAGGCGCAAGTGGAAGGAATGGTGTGATCAGGCCATGGAGTCAGGGGCCCGCAGGGCCCATGGCTACCTCATGGAGAAGATCACGCCGCAGAAGTTCCAGTTCGAAGGTATGGCAGAACAAGCACGCGATGTATGCCCACTTCAAAAAAAGGATGAAGCAGGAGCGCAACAAGTGGTGTACTGCATGGGCTTGTTGTGGTGCCCCTAGAGATATTCCCACGTTCGGAACGCACCCTGCACCTGTCATGGAGCTTCCATCGGCAGACAAGATCAAACGAGTAAGCAAGCGTTTCATGCCGAACATATGCCAACCTGATGGATGGCATCCACGACGTTACAGTCTACTTGGCGAAGATACGAGGGCGGTGTTTGGCAAGCTGCTGTTTTTTAATGGAGATGCGTGGCCAGAACCCGTCATCGGTGCAGAGATTAATTGTTCTGTTGAATCACAAGCCTGCTGGTGAACGACGACCGCTGGGATTTTACTACGCATCAACCAGGATGTCTGGGCGTCTGTGGCGTGATAGGTTGCGCAGATGGGAGAAATACCAAGGGCTTGGAGGCCAGTGCTCCACGTCGCAAGGCAGAGGCCCAAATGGTACTGCTTGGCGCCAAGCAGCAGTTTCAGAGGGCGCGAACAACATGGACGTGTACTGCATTGCAGTCTCATGGGGTCTGCTGCAGTTCTATGGGGATTACCATGGGACCTTCTGGCGACGAATTGCAAAATTACAAACTTTCCAGTGGCAGTGTTGCGGATGCCTGTGCAGAGCTACACGTGGCCGTGATATCTTCAATGCGATGGCATGCTGATGGGCCCGCTCGACCCACGCAGAGGCATCGTAGCAGGATCAGCGAGTGTGCCCTTCGACGCCAAGATGTCGCTGATCCCTTTCATGGAATGCGAAGCCCGCGACAATGCCACGAACATGCTGTCGTTACACATCGATGGCCTCTCTCAACATTGGGGTGAGTCGATGGTCAAGGTACTCCGAGAAATGCGAGGTCACGTACAGAGAATTGGACATAGACTACATAAAGAACTTGGCTTACCCCTAGCTCCCCACAAGCTGAACATGGCCACCTCCCCTGGCAAGATGACTGAGTTGGCGAGGAATATGCATAGTGTTTTTTTTTTTCGGGGGTGGGGGGGGGGGGGGGAGGAGGGGGGGGGGGAGGGGGGGGGGGGGGGCAGGCGCATGCGGACATGGGAATCTTGGAATAGATTACACTGGCGGCAAACATCTAGCTCATCCGAAGGCCGACACCACGCGGGCACAGAGATGGAGAAAGCTCACCACGAAGAAGAAGACGCTAGCGACCATGAAGTTCACTAAGAAGGGCCACAAGACCAGGCTCGCAATCACGAGTACGGTTCCCACAATTCTATATGGAGGTGATGTTCATGCGTTCAGCCCGTCCCAAGTACTACGGCTTAGAGGACACGTCTCCAAGGCTATGGGCATGTCGCTGAAGGGCCTAAATTCAGAGTTGGCTTGGTCGCTTACACGGACGAAGGACCCGATCCATGCGTGTAGCATGTGCATATTCAGATATTGCGCAGAATGGTGGATGATGTCGGCACCGCGACCTTACCTCCAACGACGGCATGACGATGTTCCACCTGCACCTGTACTGACCAGGCTTTGGCAGGCCGCAACGGCCCGTTTCAACCACCAGGGAGCTGCACAAAAAAATGTTTCAAGAAAGCAAGGGGCCTCTCAGCGATCTCCTCCTCTGGTGTTGGGAGGTTGGGTGGACGGCTCTGGGTCCTACCTCCTTCCTCGACCTCGAAGGGATGACCCTTGATGTTTTGAAGGTGGCCCCTGCTTTCATAGCCAAGCGTTTTGAATTGCAGTATAACGAATCTCGAATGCAGAAAGTAGCGAAAGCAGCCTGCCACACCATTGAGGACCCAAGCAGTGTTTTGATTGCCGAACAGGGGCTCTGGTGGGAGGCGGCTGCGAAGGTCCTCTCGTGCAGGCATGATTTGGAACCTAAAGAAGTAGTGGCTGCTAGGCAGGCGCATGGAGGAGCCACCCCGACGGCTGTGAAGCTGAGGTCCTGGGGCTATTCTCTTGCGCCTGAATGCAAATTCGGATGTGGGGTCCCCGATGCGGCCTTTCATCGGATCTGGGTCTGCCCCCGCGGTGCCGAAAAGCGTGCTGAAGTTTTTTCGGAGTCCACGGTGCAACGCGCACTGGGGGCAGGAGAGAACAACTCGTTGTTTACGAGAGGCTGGATGGCGCGTCATGAAGCCACGCCACCCTCCCAGGACTGGCACGTCACGTTCTACCAGGGAGGCCAGAAGGTCGAACCATTCGCCTTCGCCCCTGGCGACAAACTTTCTAGCGACGGTTCCTGCCTGAGGCCGAACATGGGGTACCTGGCGAGAGCGGGGTGGGGGGTTGCTTCGATTGACGCCCAGGGGAACCTAATTAAAGGAATATTTGGGCGTGCGCCCAAGTTGTTTGGCCAGAGCAGCGGAGTAGGCGAGCAGATCGGGGTCGCGTTGGCCCACCTGCACATTGACAGCGAAGATAAAGTGGGCCCCAGGTCCGCCCTCGGGGTTGACTTTGCGGCCCTCTTGAGGGCCCAAGGGTCGCCAGACACGGTGCTGGCGGCCAAGTTTGACGCTGCGCATTTTTGGCGCGAGGTAGCCGCGAATCTTGATGTTGGTGAATGGGTGACCTTCCACAAAGTGAAGGCGCATCTCGACGAGTCCTCTACAACGACAGAGGCTGCTGATTGTAGAGATCTCGACGAGACCTCTACAACGACCTGGTAAATAAGGCTGCTAACTGGATGGCTGGCCAGGGCGCTCGTTCTCATGACTTCAGCCCCGATTGTTCCGATACCGTATTGCGTTCATTAAAATTATATCGAGAATTATTCCTGGGACTAGGGAAAGTCCTTGCCCTATGGCCCCTCCTGCTGACCTGTTCGGTGTGCTTGAGAAGGGATTTGTGGGCCCCCGCGCGAAGAGGCCCCCGACTGCCCCACACATAGAGAAAAATGTCTTCACCGGCCAGATGGGGCCCTTCACCGGCCAGATGGGACCCTTCACCGGCTGACCGGCTGACTGGCTGGTCGGCTGCCTGGCTTCACCGTCTGACCTCGCTTCGCCGGTATGCACATGCTTGTTGGACGCAGAACTCTGTGCACGCCGGCAAGGAGTCCTACCGGAACTTGTGGATTACTAGCGAATCCTACCGAAACCTTCGGATTACGAGCGAATCCTACCGAAACCTTTGGATTACTAGCGAATCCTAGCGATCCATGGGAAGACGAGGGAGCCCCATGGAAATTCGAGAAACGCCCCAACCTCTGGGAAAACGTGGAAGCCCCAAGGGGGCTCGACACCATCATCATAATCATCATCATCAGCATCATCATCTTCCTCATCCTCATCATCATCATCGGCATCACCATCATCATCATCATCGTCCTCATCCTCATCCGCATCGTCGTCATGATCGTTATCATCATCATCGTCATCATCATCATCATCATCACCATAATCATCGTCAACATCATCATGATCATCACCACTACCATCACCATCATCATCTTCATCACCGTCGTCATGATCGTCATCATCATCATCGACATTATCGCCATCAACATCATAATCAACATCATCATCGTCATCATCGTCATCAGCATCAACATTATCATCATCCTCTTCCAACCATGCATGCCACGTTAATACACGACCAGACTTGGTCTCTTCACAGGCCTCCAAAAAAACAACAAAAAATAATTAATTGCAGAAGCGGTTGTGGCAACCCTTAGCACTCCACACTCGTTCTTGCTGGCGTACATGCGAACACTACAATCAACTTTCAATTGAAAGACGTAGCCTGTGAAACACCCAATCAGCCGGTGAACGGATCAGCCGGTGAAGGGTCCCATCTGGCCGGTGAAGGGTCCCATTTGGCCGGTGAAGAGACCAATAGCCCCACACATCCCTCACTGGCACATAGATCATTGGCGATGCTCTGTATGTCTGAGATCGGTCTCACCGCTCACAAAGACCCCATGCATAGGCTTCAACCCTTCCCTCTTGGAGATTCTTAAGAAACCTGGCCATTGTGAACACGCCCTTCAGCTTGCGTGCGTGGTTGAGTCTGGGTTCCCTGTTTTGTTCTGTTCCCGCTGCGGAAAATTCGGGACCCAGAAGGCCTTAAAGCTGAGGTCACAGTGTGAGCCTAGCAAGAGTAAAGAGAAGCGTGCCCTTCTTGCAGGCAGGCTACCCGCTACCACTTGTCGAATTCATCTCGTCCAACAGGTCAGCGGCTCGGCGTTGGGGGAGTTTTGTTTTCGACTGTAACTGTTGTTTGGGCCAGTGCCCCAGGTGTAGTTGCAAAGTGTGTGACTCCGCCTCCATGTACCCACAGTGCCCACAGGAGGAGGAGGAGGAGGAGGAGGAGGAGGAGGAGGTTGATCAGGAGGAGGAGGAGGATGAAGAGGAGGAGGAGGAAGAAAAGGACTGGGAAAAGCAGGCGAAGAGGGAGTAGGAAGAGAAACAGGGAGGAGGACCAGGAGAAGGAGGCAGGGGGTAGGAGCGAGGAGACACAATCGGACAACGAGAGACAAAGTCGGAGCAACCCCGAACCCCCAGAGTCTGAGGGCGCCCCAGAGTCTGAACAACACCTTTTTCAGATGGTACACCTGGCCTTCATAGCCCAGCCTACCTGACCTAACATAGCCCTCCAGCGGCGTTCGGGGCACGGGCACCCCCAGAACGCTCTCGGCGAGGCGCAGCTGGAAAGCACCCCGAGGACGGGAAACCGCCGAGCCCCGAAACCCCAAAACCTCGAACCTCGAACCCCGCCCCTTCACTTTTCCTTCCCCCTCAGACCAGCCAGCCGCCTGGGACAGCGCCCTTGCTGCTCGGGCCCAGGGCACTGGCCACCATCCGGCGCCCCGTCGGCCGGCCACGCCTGCCGCGGTGTGCTGGCGTCGAGGCCTGTTGCGTGCTAGCCGGCCCTGAACCTAATCTCGGGGGTCTCGGCGGCGTGCCGCCGATTTATCGGCGATTGCAGGTCGATGCTCCCCTCCACCCTGAGTCAGACCTGTCAGGAAACGACTCAGGATGAAGAGTTGTTCTTGGGGTAAGGCCTTGGGGTCTTTGATCCGCTTCCTTCAGGACCCGTTTGTTTGATGCCACGTCTCGTCCGATCCGAGTCGAATGTCCGACCCCGAACCATTTCCGAGTCGGTTTTGGAGGTCGCCGCGGTAGTCGTTGCGCTTACGAATCACAGCCCCGAGTTCTCAGGGCAGGGGGGTGAGTCAGGGACAATTCCTCCTTCGGGCCTCCCGCGTTCGCGCTGGAGTAGGCCAGGATTGCGCTCCACTCGAGCTCTCCCAGATCACATGCTGCCCCCCTGTAGATACAAGGGCTCCCTCGAGGGCGCGAAGTTATTCGCGCTTCGCGGTCCTCGCTCCTTCTCCCCCTTCTCCTCGTCCTCCTATTCTCCCTTTGGGAGGGCGGCGCGAGAGCGCGAAGTTATTCGCGCTTCGCGCTTCGCGCAGCGCGAAGCGCGAAGTTGGGAGCCCTAGTAGATACTGTGCAGTTCTCGTTAGAAGCAGGAGTTATTCTGGATCAAGCGGTTTCAGGGCTTTCCGAATCGCACTCGGGGACACGAAACCGGTAACAACCCGGACCAGGGGCGTCTTGCAGGGTGACCATACACATCCACTCGGAGCAACATGTTTGCCGAGGAGTGGCGATCCCTATCTCAGCCGCCCCTCCTTGCTCTGCGATGTAGAGGTGGTTCATACCTAACTTGGAGATCTGCGTTTAGTCTCGAAATCGAAGTTGGCTGTCGGCTTCAACTAAATCGCTGTCGAAATCCAGTTCTAAACTTCCTTAGAGTATAGCGTGTCTGTGGAAATTGAACTCGATCTCCAAAACACAATCTCCCATCACACCTGGGAGACCTTCTTCTCTGGGACGTAAAATGTTGTTTTTGAAAGCGAAACCGGCTTCCCCAAACCACGCAGTCGTTTGGAAGGCCGAATTCGGTATTAAAGACACGTAGTTCTCTTGTACGAGGCGTTCATCAAGAAAGGTGCCCAGGAGGCTACAGGCCAAAGAGGGCTCCATATCTGGTGATGGCGGCGGTGACACCATTGCCGACCACGACCGGACCTCCGCCGGCTTTCGGACCTGGATTCCTTATCCAATAGCGAAAAGGGTGTCATGTCATGGGCGGTCAGATTTTGGGAGGATGAGGAGGAGGAGGAGGAGGAGGAGGAGGAGGAGGAGGAGGAGGAGGAACAGGAGGAGGCGGAGGAGGAGGAGGAGGAGGGGGAGGAGGAGGAGGAGGGGGAGGAGGAGGAGGAGGAGGGGGGGGAGGGGGACGACGAGAAGGAGGAGGACGAGAAGGAGGAGGAGGAGGAGGCGGAGGAGGAGGAGGATCTCTCACGCAACGAGAGGCGCCTGTGCACGCCGAGGGCCCCTGCGGCGGTGCCGATCTGGGCCACGGCACGCCGTGCTCGTTGCGGCTGCCGCAGAGCCGCGGCCAGCCGTCGTTGCGCCCGCCGCAGAGCGCGCCCTCGGCGGAGCGGTGGGGAGCTATAAAACCTGGGCCTCAGAGCAGACGGGGGTCGAAGGATCGCGTTGCATCGCCGATGCATCGGCCATACGGCTCGATGTGGAGACCCTTTTTCTCCACGCCAACGTCGCCGATGCATCGGCATTTCGGCACCCGCCGCGCCAGCCGCTTCGCGCCGGCGGCAGAGCTGCGGGGAGTTCTGAGCGCTGGTGGAGGGAGAAGCGGTACCACCACCACGAATCCCAGACCCCCTCGGGCCATGAACAAATTACGACGGGAGGTTTCTTTCTATTTTCGGCCTCCGGGGGCCTTTACCGGGCCTCGGGACCGTCGAGAAACGACGCGGGATGAAAAGCGGGTTCTTGGGAATTGGTCCAGACCGCTGGGGGGTCCACGTCATGAAGCAATCTCGACGTCGGGGGTCTGGGCCCTGAGATTTTGGCGTTGCAAATGTTTGACACCGAGCGTTTGTGCCCTGTTGCGGGCCCCGGGGACCCTCACAGATCGGTCCGGCTCGAACAATGACGGAGGAAGATAGGGTCCAGGATTTCGGTCGTGTTTTGTTTGCGAAGCTTTAGTTTTTGCTGCCACATCGGATCTCAGGGCAGGGGGACTGCCGCCCGCGAGGAGGTCCACGATGCCTCCCCAAGTTGGGGATAGGGAGTGTCGCGAGCGACCGAACCCTGTTGCGTTTTTCCCCGCGGCTACGGCGAACGGAGGAAACCCACGACACGTTGTTTGCCACGGGCGGGGAGGGGGAGGGGGCTGCTCTAGCGTGGGGTGCGATGTGTTTCTGGAGCCAGGGCCTGTTCGTCCATCGCCCGCTCGCCAAGGAGAGGATCACGCTGCGCTTCATGCGCTTGTGTGGGGACGTGTCCTGGAGGGAGAGGTCCAAGCACACCCTCTTGCAGTTGCCGTCGGTGGCGGAAGGCGCACGCAGCTCATATTTGAGCGAGTCCGCGATGGCTTGCCTGAGTGCGTTCCTGAACGATCTCATGGCGTCGCCACTGCGCAGCGCCTTGGCGACGTGAGTCATTCCCTTGGTGTCAACGCTCACGTGGTATAATGCTGAATTGTGCCACTTGTAGATAGCATGGACCTCGCATTTCAACTTCAACGTACTGCATGCGTCACCAGCTTCACGGTCGAGGTCCCGCTCCATCCTCGAGATCCCGCTTGCGCCGTCGGTGGTGACCAGCCGCTGTCGTCGTTCGAATAGCTTCAGCACGTCGTACATCGGTGGCTGGCTCGCCATGAGCGCATCGAGTAGGACCTCGCAAGTGGTCTTGCTCAGCGACTGGACGGGCGCCTCCATGGGCACGCGAACGGCGAAGTACCCGTCACCAAGGGTGTGGAACAGCATCGAGAAGAAGCGTTCGGTGTTGAGGAGCTTCGCCACGCGGGAGCCCGTGCAAGTCGCAGCGATCGGCAACATCTGCACCTCTGATCGCTGTGACTCTCCAGGTCTTGGCAGCTGGGGCTGGCCCTTCTGGATTCCGTTGTTCTTCTCGGTGTCGGTCAGCCGCGTGTGCATGGGCGTCTCATCGTACTCCACCGCGCCTCCGTCCAAGTGATCGCTCGGCCCCCGCGCTTGATAACAACGTCCACCAGCTGCCGAGCCATCGTGTGGAAGTCCCTCTGCTGAAGACAGTTGGTCGCGCTCGCCGTCGCAATCAAGAATGCGTCGGCCTTTTTTCCGATCCACTTTCGATTTCTCGCACTCCTCCTGGAACGGCAGGGTCCGAGTCTTTTCGTCGAGCCAGTAGTTCACGATGTTGGCCTGATTCTTGTCGACGATCGATGTCAGGGTCCATGCCGTTCGCCGAGGCGATGGCGCTCACCTGCTCCACGAGCTGCGCGACGTCGCTGTGCCACGATTCTCGGGTCGCTGGCGCGGAGGCCTGGTCCGCGGCCTTGGCCAGCGCGACCTCCTAACGCTCGGGCGGCGGCGGCTCGGCTGGCTCGGGCTGGTCGTCACACTCGGGCTCGGAGAACTCGCCGAAGATGTCGGCTGCCTCCTCGTCGGCCTCGGCCGCTGCGGCCGCGGCGGCCGCGATCGCCATTGCGCCTCCTCCCGTTGGCTTGGGATCTGGCCCCGCAGCCGCCGCGACTGCTCTCAGACCATCTCGCACTCGCTTCCGAAGATGTCCGATCGAACTCCACATCGCCTGCGTCGTCGCAGACGTGCATCCTTGATCCCCCTCCCCACCCGGTCTCCCCCTCATCACCCCCATCTCGTCAATCCTTAATCCTCTGCTTCACTCCTCATCCCCTCTTGCCCCCCCCCCATCCTCATAGCACACCTCCACCCGCAGCCTCCCGTGACCGCCGCCTCCTCAGATTCATCGACCGCCGCCGATTTCCAGGCCCTGAGCCTTCCGTCTCGCGGCGGCGGCCGAGGGCAGCAGCGCATGCGCGGGCAGTCCGTGCCCGTGCGGGTCCACCGCGGCGCCGCCCGCTGCGGCGCCCACCGCGCCCGCGGGCAGGGCCAGCGCCGTTGCCTCGGCGCCGACGGCCGCCAAGGCGGCCCACCACGCCTCGGCCGCCGCCGCGGGCAGAGCCTCGTCGGCTGCCCCTCCGCCGCCGCCACCTTGGCGCCGAGGGCCGCCACGGCGGCCCACCCCGCCTCGGCCTCGGCGGCCGCCGCCTCGGCGGGCGCGGCCGCCATGGCAACCCACCCCGCGCCGTCGTGAGCGCTCTCGCCAGCCTTCCGTTTCCAGGCGGGGGGGGGGGGCACGATCTGTCCGCCCCCCTTCTGCGCAGGGACCCAGCAATGGGGATCAGCGAGCATCCAGTACAGGGGGTGGAGGAGGAGGAGGAGGAGGAGGAGGAGGAGGTGGTGGTGGACTGAGGCGATGCGAATGAGCAGGAGGAGGGCGACGGGGGGAAACGGAGACAAGTTCTGTTCGGTTCGGGCCCCGCAGGCGTATCGACATTTGGGCGCCGTGTGCGCGATCATCGAGAGAAGACGGATTCGGAGACAAGTTCGATTCGGTTCGGGCCCCGCAGGCATATCGACACCTGGGCGGGCGCCGTGTGCTCGACCATCGAGAGAAGGAGGAGGGGGAGGAGGAGGAGAAGGAGGAGGAGGAAGAGGAGGAGCAGGAGGAGGAGGATGGGGGGAGGAAGGGGAGGAGCAGGCGGAGGAGGATGGGGGGAGGAGGAGGAGGAGGAGGAGGAGGAGGAGGAGGAGGAGGAGGAGGAGGAGGAGGAGGAGGATGCCAAAATGGCTGCACCACCGAAACCCACGAGCGAGCTTCTGGAGGCGGCGTGGGCTGTCTTGGGGCCTGCTTGGGCTGTTTTGGGGGCTGCCTTGGGGGCTCCTTGGGGGCTTCTTGGGGACTTCTTGGGGGCTCAGCTCAGGGCCTCTCGGGCTCTCGTGGGGGCTTCTTGGGGGCTTCTTGGGCTGTCTTGGGGGCCTCTTGGGGGCATCTGGGCTCTCTTGGGGCTTCCTGGGGGCTTTCTGGGGGCTTGTTGGGCTATCTTGGGGGCCTCTTGGGGGCTTCTTGGATAGTCTTGGTGCTCTCCTGGGGGCATCTTGGGCTGTCTTGGAAATGAAGAAAGGATATGATGGACGATGATGACCAGGGAAGAAGGATAATGAGGATCTTGCGAAACATACATCATTCGGGGCGACGCCTTGCACCGACTACTTGCGGCGAAGCCATGCCTCCTTGGGACCACTTCCGTGGCTATTTCGAACCTTATTTTGGAACCTACTTCGTATGTGGGGGTTACTTCAATACCTGCTCCGATACCTACTTGGGGCACTACTTTGGTCGTTCCGTGGCCCCCCAACGCTTCAGCAGGCCACGCCGATCATGACCGGTTGGTGGGTGTAGGGTTCGCCCCTCAGGAGTGGCCGCGCGTGGGCGCCCACTTGGGGCTGGAGCCGCGCTTCCCCAAGCTTCTCTGTGCCAGCCCTGCGCGAGAGGGCCACGTAGTCGACAAGGAGCTCGTTGACCTGCTGGCGCAGGGCCAACCAGGGAGATGCGAGTTGGCGCGGCAGGTGACTGGACGTGCAGGGAGCATTGGACATCGACTTCCCAAACAGTGCTTGCGCTCATGGGTTCTTGCCGAACCCCCCCATACGTCTTGGCGCTGACCGCTGGGCACTTCCAGCCGCCACTCCAGTGCGAATCGGTGACCCGGGTTGCCGCGTTGGTCGCGCCGCACTCGCTGGTCGCTGCGCGCGCGAGCATGCGCGGGCTAGCGCGGCCGCAGAGATGCACCAGCCAACGCCAAGCACTCATCGCAATCGCCGTCGCATGGGTTTTGCAAACTAAGTTGCGGGTGGGTGGGTGGGATGTTTGTGCGAGCAGTGGAGTTGACAGCTTCAAGTTCGACAGGGTGAATTCTCGTTTCGAAACAGAGAATAGACTCTCCCCCCCTGGCGTTATCCGCCCCCCTTTCGGGTATGTGAATCTTATATGATTATGACCACATATCAATCCTAAATCTGAATTTACACTATCCCAGAGGGGCCGGGATCGGCCCCCCTGAGGTTCCCTTATGGAAAAAACGATATGCGGGGACATCTTTTGTTCTAGCATAAGACTTGTTCGCGAATCCCTTGCAAAAACGGGATAAAGTGCACACACGCGCGCATCGTCGCGCGCGCTCGCCGAAATCCTTCAAAAACCTTCGGTGTCGGAAGGATTTCGCAATCTAGTTCCCAAAAAACATAGAAACACACATGGTTTCGCAGCGCTGATTTGCTAAAGCAGCTAACGCGCGAGCTCTTGCGAAATCTTAAGAAAACCATCGGTTTTTCAAGATTGACACAAAATGCTACCAAACGGGCTTCGCGTGCGCGCATGTCGAAATCTGTCGAACGCCTTTGCGCGTGTGCCGTCGCGAGAATCCTCTGCAAAAAAAGGCGAAGTGCACACGCGCGCGTCGTCGCGCGCGCATGCCGAAATCCTTCAAAACCCATTGGTTTCGGAAGGGTTTCAACATCCTGTGTCCAAACCTACAAAAACACTAGGTTTCGCTACACGGATTTTCAACGAAGCGTGCGCGCGCGCTCTTGCGTCGTCGTCGTCGTCGCCGTCCTCCCTCCTCCCGCGTCGTCGTCGTCGTCGCCTACGTCGTCCTCCGTCTTTCCTCGTGTTCGTCGTCGTCGTCCTCTTTGGCGTCGTGGTCGCTTCCGTCGTCGTTGTCGCCGTGGTCGTCCTTCCCCCTCCTCTCTCGTCGTCGTCGTCGTCCGTCGTCGGCGTCTCGTCGTCGTCCCTCCTATTTCGTCGCCGTCGTCGTCGTCGTCGTCGTCGTCGCCGTTGTCGTCGTCGTCGTCGTCGTCGTCGTCGTCTTCCTTCCTCCCTCGTCGTCGTCATCGTTGGCGGCGCCGTCCTTCCTTCTTCGTCGTTTGCGTCGTCGCCGTCCTCCCTCCTCCCTTGTCGTTGTCGTCGTTCTCGTCGTTGTCGCCGTCATCGTCCTCCTTCCTCCCTCGTCGTCGTCATCGTTGGCGACGTCGTCGTCGTCTTCGTCGTTGTCGTCGTTGTCGGCGTCGTCGTCGTCCTCGCTGTGGTCGACGTTGGCGTCGTCGTCGTTGCCGCCGTCGTCGTCGTCGTCGTCGTCGTCGTCGGCGTCGGCGTCGTTGACGTCGTCGTCGTCGGTGTCGTCGTTGTCGTCGTCGTCGGCGTCGCCATCGTCGTCGTCGTTGTCATCGTCGTCGTCCTCGGCGTCGTCACCGTCGTCGTCGTTGTCCTCGTCGTCGTCGTCGTTGTCGGCATCGTCGAAGTCGTTGGAGCCGTCGTCGGTGTCGTCGTCGTCGTCGTTGTCGGCGGCGTCGTCGTCGTTGTCGCTGTCGTCGTCGGCGTCGCTGTCGTTGCCAAGTGCCATTTGGTACCCACCGTCACGGTCTAGAGAGGTTTTGCAAACCAAGTTGCGGGCGGGTGGGTGGGATGTTTGCGCGAGCAGTAGAGGTGGTCAAGCGCGGTGCAGGGTAGTCAATTGCACCACATAAATTGCTCCACGTCGATGGCACAACACAAGTTGCTAGAAACACACTGTCTGGGGTCACGCTGGCCAACATATTCCCGCAGGCTCCACGCATCCACAGAGCAATAGATCGCTGCTTGCGCCCCTCGCTAGCAAGTGTAGTTCTCCCGGGATTTCCTGGGACTGTTGTGGACGTGGATGGCCAGGGGCACCTTCACACGCAGGACATGCGTGGCAGCATCCAGCGCACAGTTCACAACATCAGTACAGGGCGTCCCTCCCAGGTGACTCCCCGCCAGGGTGCTGGCCGCGGCGGTCACCGATCGGCGGGCCTCGGCGAGACGAGCCGCAGCGCGAACACGAGCCAGGCGTGGAGCACTCGGAGCCAGGCGTTGACCACTCGGCAGAGCGAGGAGGGGCTGCCTCGCTGGAGCCCGAGGGCAGTGAAGAGCCGCCCGCCGCCCCCTCGGCGCGCGCGGCAGGAGAGCGCCAGCGCCCGTGCGCAGCACGTGGCGCGGCAGCCGCAGGGGTGCCCGCCGCACGCTGGGCCGTCGACGGCCCGATCGTGACCTTCTGCTCTGGTGGTCTGAAACTCGACCTCCTGGGGATCGAAGGACGACATACTGAGCATGACTTCTCTGGGATCCGCGCGGAGTTCCCGAATCGGCGCCGTGCCCCCCCCGGCGCGCTCCGCGCTCTACGGGTGTGTGGGGGGTTCCAGCGCCGATCCAAGAAATACGCGCTGACCTCCAGGAAGTTGTGTTGACGCCGTTAATGACTCTTCGCGGGGTAGGGAAGCGGGCCGTCGGTTTTCACCCGCGAGGTGGGCGCACGATGCGAGGAGGTGTGCGCACCATGCGTGCCACGCTCGCGGCATCGATTTGCTCGCCGTCGCTGCACCAAATCTGGCGCAGCTGCGCCCGACATCTTTGTCTGGCAGCGGGCAGGCCGCCGAAAACGGCAGGCTCCCGGCGGCCAAGGGTTGTTCAGTTTGTGATTCGGTGGCAGCGCGTCATCGTACAGTCGGCCCAGATTAGTAGGTCGACCCTGCCAAATCAAGGGTACCCTAGTGTCCTGTGTCTCGCGGCCCATGCTTCCTACATTCCTGCGGAAATATGGCCCTCGGAAGGGTCTTGTGTCCTCTCACGTGTGCTGTCCAATCGAGTCCGACTGTAGCTGGTCTTTCTTGCCTCTCTGGGATGTATCGAAGACGTCGTCGGCGAGTCACCGCCGCCCCCTTGTCTTTTGCAGATGCCTTAGCCGCGGTAGTGTCGACCGGAAGTGCGCGCAACACCACCTCGTGGATTGCGTGCTCCTCTTGCTGTTGGTAGCGCTACTGGGGGAACGCTGGGGGGGGGCTCTCTGAGGCCGTCCTTCGGTGATCTTGGGGTTATTTTTTTTTGCCAGTTGGGTTTTCTCGGGGCCTCCTCGGGTTATGGGCTGGCTTACGGCGTTCTTGGGCCGCCCAGCGCTTCCGGAGACGATCTGAGAGCCTCTCTGGGCCGTATTGTGGGGCGTTCTTGGGCGGTATTGGGCCGTATTAGGGGCCTCTTGGGCCGTTTTGGATTCTTTTGATATTGAAAAGACAAGAGCCCGACACATATTGTAAACTGAACGATTTGTCTATGATCCGGACCCTTGCGCCGACTCCGAGGGTCCCAAAGACAGCCCAAGAGACCCCCAGAGGGCCTCTTTGACTTTCTTGGGGCCATCTGTGCACTCTTTCGAACCAAGTCCGAAAAGGCAATGTGCCAAAACTCCAGGATCTTGGCGATGCTACACACCTTCTCGGGCTGGCCCCCTGGGCCTCCAAGACTGCCGAAGGGACATCCAAGACGTCTCCATCACAGATGGGCCATCTCGGGGCATGTTGGAATTTTGGCTGCCCTGGAACCCTCCCCGGGCCCCGAGAAGAGCCGCGCGGCGAGACCAGGGAGCGCGCGAGAGCGCCCAGGCAGCGCCGGAATTCGGCGGCCCAGGGCCCGTCCATGGTGTGTCGGCCCCCGTAGATGCGAACGAGCCCGATGAGCGCGTCCGGTCAGCGCCCGATGAGCGCGCCCGGCTGGCGTACCCGATTCGCGTGCCCGACCAGCGCGTACGACTAGCACGCCCGCCCCCGTGTCAAGACTCCGCTGCAGCCACGCTCGTGCAGGTGTAGGACAAAAGTCCGCCTGGGCACCCCTCGTTCGGAGTGCAGCTCTCAACTGGCGCCATCCATTCTGTTCCCGTCGCAATGGCCCTGTATTGGAGCGGCGGTCCTGGCCAACACCGGGTCAAACCGCCCCGTTGGGTCACGAGGCCAGCACGAGGTCACGCCAGCCCCGTTAGCCTCCCGAGGGCTCCCCCCGAGGGCTCCCGAGAGGGGTCAGACAGCACGCCCGTCAACAAGGATGTGTGACGGCCGCAAGTTGGCAACGCTACGAATGAACACCTGCAACGTTGAGGCTTTTTGGTGACCTTGGGGGACATTTCACCAGTGCTTGTGGCACGGTGGCGGATCTGCGCACGCGGAGCGAGGCTGCACCGCCAAGGCTCCCCCGCGAGGACCAATCTGCCATCACTGCGGCCTCGCGGCACAAGACCTCGCTCCCTTTCGCTGCGCCCTGGCTGCGGGGATTCTGCCCCGACGTCTCTGGCGATTCGAGCCCTGGGACCGCAAGGAAACGACTCGGGATGAAAAGCCATTCCCTGGAAAGGGGACGAGAGTGCAAGGTACTGGCGACTCGGAACATCGGGTTATCGGAGGCTTGGGTTAGAAGTTTGACAAATGAATGTCTTCAAAAGCAGTGCGGGTGTACCAGGCGATTCCAGTCGCTTGCATGTCGGTCCCATTCTGCCGCTCGCGCATCAAGTCTTCGCCCTCTCCCACCATCTCCCCTCCAACCCCGCCTACCTTACTTCTTGTATGAGCCAGGAACAGCTGGATGCTCTTGACACGCACTGCCAGTACCAATCCAGAGAGCTGGAGAAAGCTCAGACAAGGCACGGCGTGCTTCCAGCCAAGAGTTGTTCATGATGAATATTGGTTCGATGAGGACTGGGGAGCGTAGGGGTACCAGGATGATGACGAGGAGCACAGGTGGCTGATGACGGGGGCGTAGGCGGAAGATGAGCAGCATCAGGTGGCACTAGAGCAGGGATTTTAGCAGGAACTGGACCAGCTCACGTGCTGCGATGTATACTGCAGCGCGTCGGCGATGCCTCGACATCACTGTGGCATGCGTGCGGCGCCATGGCTCCAATTCGTGGTGCGACGCAGGCGGCCAGCGCAGGACGTGGCCGACGTGCAGCGAGCGCGCGCATGAGTGCTGGCCGTCTTTGATGCCGTCCTCTCGGTGTGTTTGCGCTGGCCCTTGTCCCCGTCCACGCTGCCTCCGTGGCCCTGCCCCCTCCTGCTCTTCCTCCTCCTCCTCCTCCTTTCTCCTCCTCCTCCTCCTCCTCCTCCTCCTCTCTCCTCCCTCCTCCTCCTCCTCCTCTCTCCTCCTCCTCCTCCTCCTCCTCCTCCTCCTCCTCCTCCTCCCTCCTCCTCCTCTCCTCCCTCCTCCTCCTCCTCCTCCTCCTCCTCCTCCTCCTCCTCCTCCTCCTCCTCCTCCTCTCATCAGGCCCTCCGGGGCTTCTTCTGGGAGATCTTCGCACAGCCGGCGGCCTCCTCGCTACCAGGTGCCGCGGAAGCGAGCGGGCGGAGAGGGCCCCGTCGGAGGGGCTCGATGTGTTCACCGCGGTCGCCGGGCCGGCCAATAACCTGAGAGATTCGGCGAGAGAGTTCTGTGAACAGACGCTCCAGCATCCTACAGGTTGGGGAGCTAGCGCGTCTGCACACTGCGATCCGACGTCACGAGCAAAAATGATATATATATATATATATATATATATATATATATCGCGAAAGTGTCCGGAACGGGAGCCTAGACACCGTCTTCCTGCTGCCGCCTCGAGCAGGATCGAACTTGGAGGGCCCCAGGTCCCGGAGCTGGGCGAGACCACCCGGTGTGAGACATTTGCGGTGCCAGGACCTGAGGGTACACCTTAGGCGATGCTTAAGAAAGCCCAAGTCTTCGGCCAGAGTCTCGATTATTCTTAATTTTTCCATGTAAATCCCAAGATTTTAGTAGACACGTTGGGCTTTTATTCACGCTCTGAGACGATGAATTGCTTAGCCCATGATTTCTTAGGCATTTCGCAGGGTGTACACCCAGCCCCCACGGCCGACCCCCCGGCCCGGTTGTATGCTACGAGCCTCTCCCAGTCGGGGCTTCAGGAGAAGGTCGGGTCGGGCGAAAGGGGGGGATTGGGAAAGGGGGGGTTACGAAATTTGCTGCATGCAGCTGATTTTGGCCTCACCGAGGAGCTCATTCCTCGATACATAGCCGCCTCCGGCGCCGGGAGGCGCCGGGAGAATCAGCTACGTGAGCTGATTCTCAAACCCCCCCTTTGCTATCCCCCCCTTTCGCCCGACCCGAGAAGGGGTCAGAAGGCAGGGGGTGCCAGGGCTGGGGGCGGCGCAGCGCCGCGGGGCAGTGCAGGAGGTACACGTGGAGGGGAGGGAAGGCGAGGCGAGAGGAGTGTGGGGGGGGAGGATCGGATGGTGGCGATACGCACGATGCACACGTATCTCTCTCTCTCTCTCTCTATATATATATATATATATATACACATACATACATACATACATACATACATACATACATACATTTACACATGCATATTGATGTGCATAGCTGTTCTAGAAGGGGCCTCACCGTCGAGAATCGAAAGAGGAGGCATCCCTTCCTCGGCGGACCGCTCCTCAAGCGCGGCCGAAGCCCGCGGAAGTAAACCGAGGGCGCCCTTGCCAGCAGAAGCCGGCGGGAGGATGGCGAACGTAACACATGCGCCCCTAAGTGATGGCATTTGTTTGGGTTTCACGATTTCCAGACACAGCCACACACATACACGCATACACACATACACACATACACACATGAACACATTCGCACATACACACATACATACTTTTATGCATGCATGCATACATACATGCATACACATATACGGCATACAAACACCAATATGTGCATGATTGCATGCATGTGTGCATACATGCACCTATACACACATGCATATATACATGCATGTCTGCATGCGCGCATACATACATCTACACATACACACATGTACGCACGTATATTCATACATAGCTGCATACATGAGTGCCTACATACGTACAAGCGTGCATACATGCATACATGCGTACGACATCATACAATACCATACATACAAGCATGTATGCGTATGTACGTGCGTATGTATGCATATGTGCATGTATGCATGTATGATTGTAGCATGTAGATGCGCGTGTGTAGGTTTATGCATGTCTAGATGCATGCGTGTATGTATGCATGTATTGGTTTGTGTATGTATGGTTGTGCGTATGTATGTGCTGATATGTATGCATGCAAATATTTATGTATGTGTGGATGCATGCATGGCTGCATGTTTGTATGCGTATAGGTGTGTATGTATGCATTTATGTGTGTTTGCGATCCTTTTAACAAGTGTATGCTGCGTCCCACGGCGAAGTTGCCGCACTTGATGGTCATCCGTTGCCTTCTCGCTCTAGCCTCGAGCGAACTCCGCCCGTATGCTTTCTGCCGCTCGCGCGGCGGCCGATCTGCTGCTGCCGGAGCTGGGCCGTGGGCTGAGCACTGGCGTGGCGCTCTACGCGGCCAACCAGGGGCACGCGCAGTGCCCTGCTTGCTCCTGCGCCCCGCAGCTCCACTGCCCGGAGCTGCGGTGCGACTGCTCAGGCCTGCAGGGCTCGAGCAGCCAGGGGCCGAGCCTCTGGGCGGTGGCGCTGGCCTGCGCCACCAGCGGGCTTGTCGGGGCCTGCACCGCGGCGCTGGTCTTCTGGCGCGCCGGCGGCTGCTTCGTGGCGGCCCGCTGCCCGCAGGTCGGCAGTGGCGTGCAGCCTGACTTCGAGGAGGAGGCCCGAGCTCAGGCGCGTGTGGCTCGCGCCAAGGCTCTGCAGCAGTGATGGCGGCGCCAGCGCCGCCGGCCTACCCGTCGGTGGCCGCGGCGGGCGTTCAGCCCCGGTGACTTCATCGGGGTGCAGTACCATGTTGCGGGCGCGGTGCTGATCCACGAGCGCGTGGTGGTGCTGGTGCCGCCGGGGCTACCTGGCGCGGCCAGCATCGTGACGCCCGACGCGGACGAGTACGACGAGCTGTACGTGGGCTCGGCGGACGTGCTGCGGTGGGACATCTTCCCCGGTGGCGCGGCGGGAGGCACGATGGCGTGGGCGCCGGGCGCCCGCTACTACAGGTTTCGCAGCCTGCCGACGCCGGCCACGCTGCTGACGGCCGCAGCCGCTGCCGCAGGTCGCCTCGGCCTTCCAGCCCCGCCTGGGCCCATCGTGGCCCACGCAGGTGGGCGGGTGCTGGCAGCGCCGGCGGCGGCGGCAGCGGGTGCGCTGGTGCCTGCCGCCGCGGCCGCGGCCGCCGCCCCCGCTGCGGGCGTGGCCGGGCTGGTGGCCGCCTTGGGGGCCCCGCGGCGGCGCCCGGGGCTCCCGTGCCCCTTCTGCCGGGCTGCGCGGCGGCGCCGGCCCCTGCGCCCGCGCCGGCGCCCGCGCCGGCGCCTCCAGGCGCTGCGGCGCCTGCCGCACCGCCTGGCGCCCAGACCGACGCCTGCGTGCTGCCTGTGGCGTACAACGCTCTCGGCCAGAGGAAGCTGGGCTTCGCTGAGGCGGTGCTGCGCCTCGTGGAGCACGAGTGGCCAGACTGGCCCAGTTCGGGGCCGCGTACCACGCTGTGGGTGTGCCTGTTCATGAAGGACAACGGGATGTCGCCGCTTGGCCGCCACAGCAAGTGGCGGTCGGAGGGCCGCCTTGCGCTCACCGACGCGGGGGTGGTGGCGGAGCACGAGCGCTGCTGCTTCTACCTGGAGCAGATGGTGTGCTACGACCTCCTGAACGTGCCGGACGTGGCGGCGACGGAGATGGTCTGCAGGAGCATCCAGGTGCAGGAGGAGAGGTGGCGGGAGCGGTTCGTCACCAACGCCGACGAGTCGCTCGACTCGCACCTCTTCTACGGCACCTCGGCGAACCGGGGCAACGTGTGTGTGCACCCCAGCTGCTGGCGTACGTCAGCGGCGAGCTGGCGAAGGAGTACGCCGTGGCCAAGGAGAG